CTGGTGGACTGGGCAGCAGTAGTAGTTATCTCAATAGTGCTGAATTATACAATCCATCAACCGGCACTTGGACAACTACAGGAAGCATGAGTAGCACTCGATATGTCCACACAGCATCCATATTAGCAAATGGAGCAGTATTAGTTGCTGGTGGATCCAGTGTTAATGGTTATCTCAATAGTGCTGAACTGTATAATCCATCAACAGGCACTTGGACAACTACAGTAAATATGAGTATCGCACGAGCTGGTCACACAGCAACCACATTAGTAAATGGAAAAGTATTAGTAGCAGGTGGACAGAGCAACAGTAGTAATTATCTCAATAGTGCTGAGCTTTATTAATCGATATAGACAGAATGACATTTTCTTGTTTGAATTGAATCATAAATTTTCTTTTATATGTAATCAAATTATTTAATCATTCACATTTCTTAATAAATTATCATTCACTAAAGAATATCTGAGTTGCAGTAATATCTTGAAGTCATATTGTATGGCGGTTGTTGAAAAAGAGCCATGATTGATAAAAGACAGATCATTATTTGTACAACTGAGTGGATATAAATACAGATATGAAAAATATTAATCATTCGTTGCTCGCAACCACATGTATTCGAATGAGAGCGAGTTGACATGCAATGATAACGTATGAATAATCGTTCTCAAGTGAATATCAAAAATGAATAATTCAATAATATGCTGAAACAAATCAGTTTTTTCCAAAAACATCCTTTTTATCAAATACTTTGATCAGTTTAATTGTTGTATTTCAGAAAGTGGATATATTTTATATTTTTATTATGCGTATAGTATTATAAAAGGGGTGATAATCTCGAAAAAAAAAACAAATTAAATATCCATGTCAATGAAACAAGACATATTGTAGAGAAACTGCTAATTATTTGTGATTAAATGTATGAAAAAGAAAATAGAATTTATATTATTGACAGTAAAAAGACACAAGTGAGAGTGCGAATCAGTATTCTATTCACTCTGACTGTGTGTGGGTTTGGGTGTGGGGTGTAAGTGTGAGTATCTTCTCTTCCTACCCACAACCACACCCTCAATATTTATTTATTAATCATACAATAAACTTGCTTATTTTTTTATTCGTGCTTAACTATCCGATACTTAACTTTCTCGTGCTCATCATTCACCAATCCTTCGAAATGTCCCGATCGATGGACAGTTGTTTATTGAGTTCAAAAGCGAATGTATGGATCGTCTATCACTGATAAGAAAAACTATGGTGAGATTATTTGACTTGTGGCTGTCAGGAAAAGCGGATGAAAGTGAATAATGAGTCACTAATCTCTACATCCTCACTCTTTCAGATTTGACTCAAATCTTCATTTTGATACTATGTTTTATCACAAACCAAACATTTAGAAGAAGGAACAAGAGATAAATTATCAAAATTGTACTGGTATTAATTATCTTTCACCAGTGACAATGGATTTTTCGAAAAAATATCTTTTAACCTAAATTGAAATTAGTTCATTGTTTATTTTCATAAATTATTTTATTTTGTACATTGTGTTTTGTCAAAATAAAAATACACAGTTCTACGAAGCTTATTTAGAATTTAACAGATTGTTTTATGAAAGCAGGGTTCAAATTTTTGAATTCGATTGTTATCAGAATCAGTAACATATAGATTTCCTTCAGCATCAAATGACAAATCTACGGGATAATTCAGTTGATCGGATCTTTGTCCTTGATCATTTCCACCTACAACGATTGAACCTTGTTTATCTCCTTCACACCAACGCATTATACGATGATTGGCGTAATCTGCGATATAGATGAAACCCAGATCATCAACAAACAAACCTTGAGGAGACGAGAGTTGTGTAAGACTGTTCCCGGAACCATTTCCACCAGCCACCACAATTCCTTCTTTCGCACCGTTTCTCCATTTCACCACGCGATCAGTGAAATAATCTGAAATATAAAGAGAATAATCTTTATCGACAAATATATAATGAGGCAAATATAATTGATTGAGCTGATTTCCTTTGTTATGTCCGCCTGCAACTACTGTTCCATTTATGTCTCCTTCTTTCCACCGTGTGACTGTGCTCTTCTCCCAATCAGCAACATAAATAGATCCATTATTATCCATTGCCAAACCAAAACAGCTGATGTTAGCAATGAAAACTTGTGGACTTGTCTGATTCTTACGAAACCATCGCATTATTCGTTCATTATCATAATCGCAAATGATCAAAGAATCATTTTTTTTGTCAAGAATCACATCTACAGGATGAGCCAATTGATTAATTTCCTTTCCATTTTCATTTCTTCCTGCGATGATTTCACCAGCCTTCGCATTAAGTTTCCATTCAAGAATGCGCCCCTTGTCATAATCTGCAATAATAATAGCGTTGTCATCAATTAAAATACCGTGAGGCTCACTGAGCTGGTTTAATCCACTTCGCTGTTGACTTTCTCCGGCAATTGTGATACCATTTTGTTTCCAACGATTATATTTTGATTCAATTTGTTCTAAGAGTCAAGAGAAAATAATTTGATTAAAATGAAATAGAACGATGTATATATTTTGAACCTATACATAATTTTAATCAGCTCTGAAAGGATTGAAGGTGTGGTCAAATGAAAAGAAGACAGAACCTTACATCCTCATTCACAACAACGTTACTGTCGTCTCGATAATATTTTCTTCAGTTGTTACAATGTCTTGATAATTACAAAGACATTAATCGAAGTTAGTTTTCTATTACAACTATGAGAACACTATAATATTTGAACAAAACATTGTATAAAATATGGTAATATGTCTCTTAAAAGAGCAAATTGTTCAACTAAGAATACGCTATTTTTTTTATTTAACAAATTACATGCACATAATTGATTTCAGAATAATATTATCATACAGTTTTACTCAATTCTTATTGTTCTTTCATATGAAGTATTGAACAGATACAAAATATCATAAAAAAAAGATTGTTTTCTTCACAAGCCTACCTTCTGTTGTTTGTTTGTTCTTTATTGTCGTAATTTCTTTCGGTGTTATTTCCGTTGTCACCATTGTAGTTGTTGTTTTGATTGTTGTTGATGGTTTTGTTTTGATAATAACTATTGGAATAATTATAATCAAAACAAGAACGACAACAATAATACTGGAAATAATGATCCACTTTAATTTTCTGTTTTGACAATATTTCTGTCTGAAATAAACAATTGTTTTTCATATCTCTTATAACAATACATCATATACATACAATAATCCTGATTGATTAGCTGATGATTGTTCTAAATTCACATTAATTTGTTCAGGCTAAAATAATTAATTAACATAAAAATTATTTCATTTTATTTTTACAAATAAATTAATAAATCACAAACCTCGACTTCAAAACGATCCATAGTTGATATTTTGTACAAATGTCATACTATTTCAATATTTTTATAATGAAATATCTAGAAATACAGATGACATAGAAAATAAAATTATCATCTAAAGATTTTCAGTTTTCTCAAATAAATATTCATACCATATAATATCTATCTTCATTTCTGACGATAAAATAACATATGGAAAGAGAAGATTATCTGAAAAATAAAAATAAATATAAAATACGTTGCATGGAAGATAAGAATAGAAGAAAATTATATAAAATGAGTAAGTGATGAAAAAGGAAACATTCAAATATTTATAATAAAACAACATTGATAAATATCAGGAAAGTTCTTTTTTTTATAAAAAAAACAAATACATTTTTATGAATATTTCTACAGTAAATAAATTAATTAGTGAGAAGAATTCGAATCAATTTGGAAACAATCGATCTCAAAAACTTATTCAAGTACTTTAAATAGATCCATCTCAAACTTTAAACAACAGTTTATTTCATTTATTATAAAACATTTAGTAAATATATTCTTTTTCTGTTCACTTGTGTAATACAACACATCAAAGTTGTGTTGTCCTATGATAAGCACACATGTCATTAGATTTGTGAAATAAGATGACAGATTTCATATATATTTTATAATATTAATTATAGAAAAACGAAAGAATTAGCATTGATACATTCAATGATCGAGTTACGTTTGTTTTCCTATTGTTTTCAATACTAAAGAAAATTCACTTTCTCTTATTCTATTATTTGAGTGTACACGAAAAGAATTTTTATTTTCATACCTAATTATATATATATCGGAAAGTAAGTTTTCTTTTTAAATGACTAGTTGTACAATAAAGTCTTTGTATTTGTAAATAGACAAATTTCAAATGATCATATTCATTATTCTCAGCTCAGAAATAATTTCTTACATTACAAGTTTATGCTAATTTGGAAAATATTTAAATTTCGAAATCAAAAACGTTTGTTGATATTCATATACATTAGAAAATATCGAATGTACACGAAATGCAAAGTTTCCTGACAAAGACAACAGTAGTCTTATTTGGATAAAATATTTTATTTTTATTTTGTATTCAGTTAGAAGAATAAATGCACTGACATCTTCTGTTGTTAGAGATATTTTTTATAACTAATTCTATTATATTTAATGATTAGTTTTTATTTCAACTTAATTCATATATCTAACAGATTAGATAGATAAGAATACAATGTAATGATAACTTCTTTCTTTTTTGAATTTAGTTTATATTTTCACATTAAGAAAAGTATATTATTGTGATATATTCAGCAACCTCATACAATTTTTTGTCACACATGAAGTGTAGAAAGTATATTAAAAAATTGATATCATTCATGATTAACTATTTGCATGAATAAAAAAATATGTCTACACTATTTCTATAGGCATTCGATAATCATGAGGATAAATAGATTTTATCAGAATTTTTGTTTTTGGAATTAGACCCTTTTTTATGGATGAAAAGATGTTACAAAAATAAAGAGAAACAAGAAATTGTATGATGTACTTACGTAAGGTTGAAGAGAAAAAAATGGAGTGAGGCATGACTGCGAAGAGATCAATGTAGGTTTGTGTTGTTGGTCCTATAGTTGGCTTAATATATCTGTTAAATGCTTAGTTTGAGTGATGTCATTGTTTGATTTCGATTTTCCTATTGCGTGCGGGATGGTTGGCTTCTCATGACTTTGAGAACTACTCTCTCACTAAAACCGACACCCTCAACACTCGATAAGTATAAAATTGATAAATCGTTCATGAAGATGAGAGAGAAATCTGTGTTTCAGATATATTACTGAGAAAATAATATTTTGATAACCTATTATTTCTTTAATATAATATAAACAAAGAACCTTGCCGATGATCAACTTTCTTAATATTGTATACTTCTATGATATCATTAGATGATATTATTGAAATTTATTTGTATCGATAAAAACTCGTTGTATTTTATTTATTTATCATATTACAAAAAAAATGAAATTAACAAAGACTCATGACATAGTGAAGATATATTGAAAACAAACTTTCATAACATTCAAGATGATAATAATAATACACATAAAGTAGAAAATTTTATTAAATTATATGTAATGCAAAAAACAATTGAACTTTATTTTGGTCTTCGTCGAACAGCATTTGTCATACAATGAACGCCACCACCACCTTCTGATAGACCTTCAAAAGGTATGAGACCCACTCGACACATATTATTGTGAGTCATATGAGTAACAATACCTTTTTCAGCATCACTACCAGCATAAGTGACAACATGACAATCATCGATAACAACAACATTATGTCGACATTGTCGTTGTTCATCAATCGATGTTTGTTCATCTTTTGCATCATAAAATATTAAATCAGGATTATTTAGAAGTTTTCGAAGAGTTTGCCGAACATTACAACCATGTGATATCCATTTTGGTTTTAAACATGTCTTTTGTTGAGAATATTGATTTTCTACAGTATATATTTGCATAGTTTCAGCTAATAGACCATGTAATGTAAATGCATGTTTACCAACTGAACTAAGAATAGTATCTAGATGCATGTAACATCGTTGAGGAGGTATCATAATAACAATAACTTGATGAAAAAGACCTGTTCGAGTAAGTGCTTCAATACCAGTTCGATTTGTTCTTTCACTACACCCAATAAGTAGAATACCATCACCAAGATAAGCAACATCACCACCTTCGATTGTTGGAATTTCTTCATCAGTTTCATCAATGTTTTTTTGCCATTCAATGATTTCTAATCCACAATTTGATAAATGTGGATGATACTGAAAAATGATATGTAATAGAAGAGGTTCATTTTGTCTTGCTGGTTTACTCATTTGCCAAATAAAAACATGATTATCAATAATTGAAAATCCATCACGCATAAATAAAAGATTAGGTAATGGTGGAATGAGATATTCATTTGTTGAATTATTTGTTGTAAGAAGAATTTGAGCATAATCAGATGTACCTAATTCATCTTGTGAACAAGCCACACCAACAATAATATCTTCAGTTAATTGTTCGGGTGTTCGATGAAGTAACCATTGTTGAAGAGCTAATAAACATTGTTGTTGTTGATTATTATGACTGAAATGAGAATTAGTAAGAATACCATGAATCAATTGAGAACGTGCTTGATCACTTGAAATAAGTGTTTGACGAAGAAGATCTTCTAGATAAAGTACATGTATTCCATGATCACGTAAATATTGTGAAAATATATCATGAGACTGATGTGTTTGAATAATATTAGGAAGAGCATCATAAAGAAGAAGATGATGGTTATCTTTTGTTAATCGAAGAAGTTCTTTGCCTGGTCGATGCATAAGAACAATATCTAGTTTACCACATTCTGAATGAACACCAACACCAAATTCATCGAGAATATCTTTGATTTTTGAAGCAGATATATCCATATTATCAGTGAGACTGAATGATTGAGAACTTCTATAATAAAATAATATTAATGTTTTTTCTCGTAAACTATGCGTAATACGTATATCTTATGTTTTATAAATATGCACTTTCAAAGGATGAAATTACGTACGACCATATACACTTTTTTTTATACATATATATATTATGCAATACATAAAAAACCTTAAGTTATAACCATGTTAGTCGCGTATTTTTCTTATCCGTAATAAAATCAAACAATGGCCTTGACTAAAACAACGTGTCTTACTGATGATGTTTGTTTCATTTAATATAATATTAATGGAGAACTCTTACAAATCATAGAAAGTTTCTAGGCAATAAGATCGTGTCTTTCAAACTCTCGAAAGTAGAAATTATCAATTTATTTTGTTTTATTATCAATATTACAAGCAATAGTAAAATTTAAATGTATGTATACTATCTAGTCTCATATGCTACTCGTTTTTAATCAAAGATTTTTTTTTAAATAAATAAAAATTAATTGAGTCTCTAATGAAATGATGAAACAAATTGAACTATTACAAGAAAGTACGTTGTCATCAAATGATATTATCTAATGGACCTATCAAAACAGTTATCTTACATATAAACTAATAAATATTCTTGAGCAAATATATCGATACTCAAAGGGAAATGATATACTATCTTTTCAAACGTGTTTTGTAGTGCCAGTCTTATTGATGAACATCGGCGAATACTTCTAGTATTTGTCGTTTATTGATATTTCTCTAACAATAATTAATTAAAAAACAAATCTATACGAATAAGTATTTTACTTTACACATACCGTGTTAAATTTTTGAAGAACTCAATCATTTGAAGCTGTTATAAAAGTACAACTATTATGGTTTAATTTAATCAAATACATTTTTTCTTCTTTTCTATTGTGTATATGAGAAGTATGATATACACTCTTTTGTTTTTATCTGATATCTTCAATTTTGTACCAGTTCGTCTGGTTTTTTTGCACTTCATGACCTGTACATGTTGTGAACTATTGATAACGCCCATTGATATTTTTATTATCAAACTCTCGAGATTGACTTTTGTCCTAATATATACTGTGTTAACATTGAAAAGAACACAATCTATTGATATTTCTCTAATCAGTAAAAAAAGATGTATAAATAGTTAACTCTTCCAAGACCGACCTATTGTGAGAAAAAAATTACACTTACAAATTAAGGATAGATTCTAATCCTGATTCCAAATCGTTGAAAATTTTGTCGATTTTCATTTGATTGAACGTCCTTTTTCTTGAAGTCACCTTATGTAGAATGAAATCTAATAAAGTACGAACTGTGAGTTCGTAAGTGACTGTAAAGAGAACACAGAGCAGGTATATATATATGAGCAAGAGAGAGAGAGAGAGAGTGAAAGCTGTCTCGAAGGTGACGGAAAGAGAACATCACGTCATGTTCAATGATAGGAAGATAAGAGAGAAAGGATATGTACAAGGTGGAAGGAGGAATAAATTATGACCTTACAGGTCATAACATAGTCCATAACATGAACGTGTAAAAAAATTAGCCGCAACGTTTACCTTGAAGATAATTCAAGAAATAAAGTGTATGATTTACTCAAAAGAATCTTTTATTCATTCTTAGTTGTATTAAATTATGATAAAAATATTACACAACTAATGTACCAATCTAATAGATTTTCTCAATTGATTGCGCATTCTATTTTGAGCATGATGTTTAATAAGTTGTTGTGTTTTTGTTTTAGTATTATTATTTGTAATCATTTGTTCAAAATCAAAATTCAATGTAAATGTAAGTGTAACATTTGAACATAATTGAACACTACTATAATTATCAGTTACATCTGTAGTTAAAATTTTGTAACCTTGTCCTTCTACATATGTACCATTTAATGGACCTGTTGTATAAATCAATTGTTGTACAACAGGTAAAGCTTGTTTTACATATATAACTGAATCTTGATTATATTTTTCACCTAATCGATATATTAGAGCTCGTTCTCGATCTGGTAAATCATTATGAAGAATAACAAGAAAACTATATTCACTAGCACCATCATAAACTCCAAGTACATTTGAATACAGATATTTATTAGTCAAATCAGTTGATAAATTACCCAGCCGCTCTTGAATGGCTTCATCAGTCAATCCAAATTCATTATTTGATAAATTCGGATTATGTTCTGCACTTATTATAGCATAACCACCATTATTCAGCAAATTTATCAATGTTTTATTCGACAATACTATTGGATTCATTAATGAAGTCCATGTAGCTATAAGAAAATAAGTTTGAAATAAATTAAAACGAAACATTTCTATGATTCTACCTGAAATAAACTGAAAATACAGCAAACAAAATACTATGATACAAGATACCATTGTATCAAAAATAGTATTCGCAAGAGAAAATAAACTGATTTTTATTTCTATCGCTTTCAAACCATCAAAAAACAAAATAGATTATACTATCAAATAATCCATTGTCAAACAAAAAACTAAGACTTGCATCGTCATGATTGTTATTCTGAATAATATATTTCAATACTAGTTGTTACGAAGTATAATGAAATAAACGGAAAGATTAGTAATAGAGTACCATCTATTGCAAGAAAATTTTTGAATCGATATTAGGAAATATATGTTCAGAATTAATTTTACTAAGAAGATAATCTATTTATTTATTTGTATATGTTATTAATATATATTTAAAAATATTTCAATATCCGATAGCGACATCTAAATAAAAAAAATTTTTGTTGTCCTTGACATCAATGGATAAGAAGCAATGTGTGGATTCAAACATCTGAACGATTAATTTGATTGATTGTATTTTTCTCATATATTCTCGAATTTTGTTTTTTTTGAACTCATATTCAGGTTTGTTATTAAACTAATTTAAATTTTGTTTTCTTAATCTATTTATTAAAAGAGGATCATGTCATCACCAAATAATGGTACTGCTAGTGTTGAAGTAATAAATAAATTATTCAATTAAATCTTACAAAAATATTTGCTTTTTTAGACACTATCTGAAGTATTTCGATGTTTTATTTGTATGGAAAAATTACGTGATGCTCGTCTTTGTCCACATTGTTCGAAATTATGTTGTTATCCATGTATTCGAGTAAATAATTTTTGTATAATATGAATATTTGTTAGAAAATTTTAATATAAATCAATAGCGCTGGTTAACTGATCAACATCATCAATGTCCACATTGTCGTGCAACACTTCATTTACATGAACTTGTTAAATGTCGATGGATTGAAGATGTTACAAGTCAACTTGATACTTTAAAAATTAATGAAACTAATAAACAAAAAGGTGAAGAAAAAGACAAGTTAGTTTCTTTTTTATTGATTCTTATAAGAAAAAAAATATAATTTTATATATTAGATGTGAATTACATAAAGAAAAATTAACTGTATATTGTCAATCATGTTCGAAATGTATTTGTCATCAATGTGCTTTATTTAATGGTTCAGTAAGTTAATAATTTGTCAATATGAATTGATTTTCTAATTAAATATTTCTAGCATGTTGGCCATAGTTTCCTTCCATTTGATGATATTTATAAAACAAATTTGTCTATTGTTAATGAACATCTTGGAAAATTGAAACGACGACATGTTGATTTAATTTGTTTAGCACAAGATGTTGTATGTAGTTTATTGTTGTTTCTTTTTTTGTGTTATTGTATATGTTTTTTTTCAAAGGAACGAAATGTGGAAAATGTAAAAATAGCAAGAGATGAAAGATTTAAAGAAATTATAAATATTATGCAAACAATACAATCAAAACTTGATGAACAATTTAAGATTAAAATGGATGCTTTAGATGGTAAGATATTCTATTGAAATAATAATATCATGATAAACTTCTTTTGTTTTTCTACTAGCTCAACGTGCACAATTATCAAGTGAAACAGAATTAATTGAACATAGTCTTCATGATATTGAACATCGTATATCAACGAATGGTAAAGTTGAAGTTATTAGTAAACAACAAGATCTTCTTAATACCATCCAGACAATTTGTCAAAAACCAATGATAAATTTTCGTACATCACCTATATCATGTGATTTTCCAAGGTAAAACTTCTTTGAATATATAGTAGAGTTTAGAGAATGATACTGTCTTTTTTTCTTCTAGTGAAATCATTCCTCCATACGATTCCAATATATTTAAAATAACGAATTATTCTCTTCGTCGACAAAATGTCGATCCAATTTATAGTCAACCATTACATATCAATGGTTTAACATGGCGTTTAAAAGTTTATCCAGATGGGAATGGTACTGTACGTGGTACACATTTATCTGTATTTCTTGAATTAACAAATGGTTTAAGTGAAACATCAAAATATGAATATCGTATTGAAATGATTCATTACTCAAGTAAAGATCCAACAAAAAATTGTACTAGAGAATTTGCATCAGATTTTGAAGTTGGAGAATGTTGGGGTTATAATAAATTTTATTCACTTGATGCATTAATAACGGATGGTTTTATTGATCCGATTAATGATACTTTAATTATACGTTTTCAAGTACGTCCACCAACATATCAACAAAAATCTCGTGATCAACAATGGTATATAAAACATTTAGAAAATGAAAATCTACAATTAAATAATGAAATAAAGACTTTACATGGAAAAGTTCTTTCTCTTATTTCAAAGAAACGATCTAATGATAATATACTTTCAACAACAAGAAGTCTTGATGAAAATGAAGGAGAACATTTAACAGAAACAGTAGTTGATATAAGCGAAGTAAACGAAGATGATGATGATGATGACGATGACGATGAGGATGATGAAAATGATGATGATTATATGTATCTTAAAGTAAAGAAATTTTATTTTACTATTGAACTATAATTATTCTTTACTTTTTAGTCAGATCAAATGGATTCCGATGAAGATGTGTAAGTAATAAATTAACAGTTAGTTAATTCACAACTCATAATTCTTTATTTTGTAGTTTAGCAGAAAATGATGTTGGAGAAGAACCAACTTCCCCGTACAATGATGTATTAACACCAGCCCAACAAAGTCTTCATCAACATTTATCATCTCAATCAAATGAACAACCAACTGCTAGATCTACAGTTCCACAAGTAGCAGCTGCAGCAGCTAAACCTAATTCATTAATAACAGATCCTTTAACGATAAATATAATACCTGATGAGAATGATGCTGAAGTACAAAATGCATTTAATGCATCAAAATATAATTCAACAATATTTAGTGATGCATTACCATTTGTTATCGATGAAAATGTTATGCTTGCTAATATATTAAAACGTAATACAAATAGTGAACAAAATATAGTTTTACATCCAAATGGTTTAGTTTACTTTTTGATTTTCTAAATAAATAAATAATTTTTCTATTTTTGTTTTATTTAGATAATCCATCGAATAGTTCAATATTATTCCGTCCAATTATACAAACGAATACCAATGAATCAATTACTGATTCGAGTGAATTTCTTTCATATCATCCTCCTCCATCAATACAAAATCAACCATCATTAAATAATTTAATGATATTCAACTGTCCAACATATCCTTCAAGACCATCGACAGATCATAATTCTCAACAACGTCGACATAAAAATCAAACAGCTCAACCTATCACTACTAATGATCAACAAAAATCTGAACAGAATAATATCCAAAAGAAATAGATTAGTCCATATATAAATCTCACGGTGATACTATACTTGCTTCAATTCATATATATATATATATACATACATATATAGATATTTATTTTGAGTGATTACAAATATTTGCACGTGTGTGTTAATTATTTATTCTTTTATTATATAAAAACAAGCCTAAAGATTAGTTTGTCTGATTTTAACATTCAAATAAATATTACATAGTTGTCTTAATATATATATATTCATTTTAATACTACTTAAAAAATAAAATTTACTTTCGAATGAAAAGTCTCAAGATGATTTTATATTATTCTACTGAATCAATCTAGAAATATTAAGCCAATTACTTGAGTAATATTTTATTGTATATCATATACTGACAAAAAAAAGGAAACTTTGACAATTACATATACTTTAATCTTCTAGGAAAAAAAGAATGATGATTTTCATATTTTCTTTAATGAAAATAAGATTAGCAGATGAGGTTTGTTGTTGCATGTGGAAGATTAAAACATTTGCGAACTCGATGATAACATTGTACTCGAGCTGCTTGCATATGGTATCCAGCTTTTCCGGAACATTCATATTCATTTAATTTACGAGTTGTACTTCCAAAATCACCTTGTTGTGCTAATATATCCATACCAGTTTCTTTATAATACCAAATAGCTGTTGCAGCAGCTATTTTATCTGAATGACTAACTAGATCGGGATTTTTAAGTAAATCAATTGCAAGTGCGTTGCCAGCATTATAATAATTACATGGATAAGATAATTGAAACCATCCACGACCAAAATATTTTATATTCGGGCGAGCTTGAATTGAACACCATGATGATTGATAATTATTACAGGCTACAAAAATAAAGATATAGATTCAGAAAAAAAAATAATTTTGTCATTTTTTAAATACTTACTGCCTTGATCAGAACAATATTCAGCAAGAGTTTTAAGACCATCAGTTTCATGTGATACATGTGTAAAAAATACAGCTGCTTCTGTACTATTGCTTAATTTCCAATTCATTAATCTCATCGCTTCCATTAAACCTTTATAACGTTGAGCACGTAAATCAGGTTTAATCATTGGAAAAATACATGCAAATGTCTCTGGTGTTATATCAAAATTACCATGTTGTGTATTAGGTGATATATTACATGGACCAGATTGACATCCTTCACCACAATATGCATCTGTTTTACCACAATAACCCCATTTTGAACAGCATTCATTTTTCGAACAAAAACAACTTGATCGAACAAGACGTTTTAAACTTTCAACAAAATCACTGCCTACATTACCATTAATTTCATGTAATATTACAAACACAAATAATATTTGAATAATATGCATTGCACCAGATGATATCAGTTATCTACTAATTATTTCTATATAGTCTCGAAATATATATATATATGTATATGAAGAACTGATAGTATGTATTATATAAAATATATCATTTCTCTCCTCCGCCATTCTTTACATATTTAATAATAGAAAAAAGCAGATATAACGATAAGTGTATACATGCATTTATTTAATTGTGTCAAGAATTCAAAATATCAAGTTATTCATTTTTGATTATATTATCAATCGGAATGCATTGAAAATGAATTTGTTTTTTCTTCTCGGACAATTTATTTTTATCAATGAACACATTTTTATATTTTCCTAACAAATATTTATTATAATTATAGACATAAAAAAACACATCGAGCAAACATGATATATACATATACAATGATATTTTAATATTTATCATATTACTCTTCTTTTTCCCTTTCGTCTATCTATCTATTGTATAGAGATATACATAAGATAAGTGATCGTGAGAATATTTTCTTGTTTAAACATCTCACAACGAAGTATTTGATTAGCAAATACTTGTTATATGTCTAACTATATATATATATTAAATTGATGAACAAGACAAACATATAAGAAGATTTTTGTAGTACATCTCATCACTTAATATGACATATGTCTTTTCTTAAATGTGATAATGATCTTATCCATTTTATTTTATTGTATCAATAGATAATAGAAAGAGACTATTCAATAGTTTTTTATTCACTGCTTAAAGCGATGATTATCGCATTTAGTCTATCGCTTCACTCGATTGCACCGCGACATCGATTTTTTTAAGATAATCTTAATATGTTACAACTATTCTTATCATTAGTTACGGTGAATTTAAGATCTATATTTATTTAATCGATAGTAATGTGTAATGTCTGCAAGAGAATCGTTTGATTTTTTCTATATTTTCATCGATGAGAATAATACTAAGTAATCAGTATCAGAATTGATTCATCTGTTGTTGTTCTCTTTCTTTTCTTTTTTCTTCTTCTGCTCTTCTCTTCTCTTCTCATAAGTTGAGAAGAGAAAAAACAGAGAGAAAGAAGACGAAGAAGAGAATTGATCAATGTCCAGTGCATATATATGAATAGAGAGCATCGTTCTTCTCGTCATATAACAATTATGGCATATTTCACTTAAATATATCAATTGTTTTATCGATACTTTTTTTTTACAACTATACAATTAATTATTATATGTAAATTTAAATAACAAACAACATATATGACTTTAATTTTATTCTCATCGATTATTTTCATAATTGTATCCTTTCAACTATATATCATCGATGCATGTCCATCTGTTTGTTTATGTCATGGTGTTCATATTGATTGTAGCAATCGAAATTTACAGATAATTCCATCTGGAATACCAAAAAATGTATTTAAACTGTAAGTTTACTACTATTATATATATATTATAAATAGTTAATGATAGATAGAATTGAAACATTTCGATGTGTCTGTTTCTATGATGTAAGCTAAATAATGAATGAACGTTCTTCTCATATTTCCTAATAAATCTAATGATCGATTTGCATGTCCTTCATAATAGAGATATCAATGTCTATTGCTTCATTAAATGATCTTCTGATGTAATCATTTAGTTGAAATTCTGTTAAAGATGATGAGATATTATCTATAAACAGATAGATTTCTGTTTTCTTATTTCGTTATGATTTCTTACATCATCGAAATTCTTTTATGTAATGAAATCATATCAATACATGCTAATTGTAAATAAAAAAGTCAAGTGTAAAATAAACTATAATTTTCGATCATAGGGAAGAAAAAAAAGTTTAACATATGAATGGTTACATCAGATTATTTATTTATCTTTCTTTCTTTCTTTTTTTTTATAGAGATTTACAATTTAATAATTTATCAATTATTCGAAAAGATGATTTGAAAGGATTTCGTCAACTACGTATATTGTAAGTATGATTGATGATAATATATACAAATCAATATTGCTTGTTTCTGTTCTATCTCATATAAAACAAAAGAAGACATGTATAGAGATGATCATCTTTTGAACTTTATTCATCTATTGACAAGGTTAAGAATTATTCTTCCTTTACTCAAATGTTTAGATCATGACAAGGTCAAGTAGCTAAATAAATAACAAAAGACAATGACCTCTTTATTTAGAAAATATATTTTATGATTATTTTTCTTTTTTTCCTTCTCATAGAAATCTTCAAGACAATCAAATACATACAATTGATACTGATGCATTTAAAGATTTATTATCATTAGAAAAATTGTAAGTGATATAAAAAATGAAATAATACTATTAGTCTTTTTTGTTAATTGATAATTAAAAAGAATAAGATTATAATCTTTTGATGTTAATGATCTAGTATATCATTTATATGATTCTTTATCGTTCGGTTCATTGACCAGATAGATTATTAGAACGAACATACAATGTAACGTACATTCTTGTCGTTCTTTAACTATATACTTCGACTAATGATAGACGATCAATATAGACGAGTGCATTTATGTAATATAAATGACTGACTAAGATGTACAAGAGGAATGATAATGATGATGATGATGGCAGATAAATGGAATGCATGATTGATAAATGAGTTACAATATGTTTATGTTTTTGTAGACGTCTCAATGGCAATAAACTAAACCATTTCACAGATGGCACATTTATTACACTTAAACAACTTCAAAGATTGTATACTTATACAAATAATAATCTATAAAATAAAAATTGTTTTGTTTTATTTCATTTTCCAGGGATCTTAGTTCCAATCGATTACGAGTTATTAAAATGGGTATGCTGCAAGGCTTGCAGGACCTTCATAATTTGTAAGTTTAAACATATATATACTGAATTAACTTGATTTTAATCATTATATTATATAGACAATTGGATCATAATGAAATTTCATGTATCGAACCAGAAGCTATTAATGGACTCAAACGATTAGAAATAATGTTTGTTGATTAATTTTTCTATATACTAAATTATATGATGTTTTGTTTTCCTTTTCCTAGAACATTGAATTCTAATAATTTAACTACTTTACCTATGTTATCATTTTCACAGCTTATTGATTTAAGAGTTTTGTAAGTATATACATTCAATCAATCAATCACATATAAATATAATAATAAATGATTCTTTTTTAAAGACGATTACATGAAAATCAATTTATTTGTGATTGTCGTTTATTATGGCTTGCTAAATATCTTAAAATACATTCATTTCTTGGTATCAATACTCAATGTCAAGAAACTGATACACGTAATTTTAAAGACATCATATCATTAATTAATGATGAAAAACGATGTAGTACGATAGGTAAAATTGTTTACATATAAATATGAGATGTTAATTTTTGTAAACAGATACTGATGATATGGAATTAACATGTAATATATTTGTATGTCCATATCCATGTATATGTTTTAATGGAGTTGTTGATTGTAAAGATAAAGATCTTACAGAAATACCAAGAAATATTCCTGATACAACAATTGAATTGTAAGATTTAAGAAAATTGAGTGTGTTGTTGTTTTTTTATAAATGAATATTTTAGACGTTTGGAAAAAAATCGAATTACAGAAATACCACCAAAAGCATTTATTCATTTAAAAAAACTTCGTCGTTTGTAAGTAACAAAAGAAATTTAATTGATTATTTTTGAATAAGTTAATAAAATTTTTAGAGATATGAGTAATAATTTAATTTCAACTATCTATTCAAATTCATTAACTGGTCTCAAATCACTTAATTCACTGTAAGTAGTTCAATATCTTGTTTGCTTATATTTATCTTCTATTCAATATATAAATAATTAGTATTCTCTATCGAAATAATCTCAAAATGTTACCATCGGAAGTATTCAATGAATTGAATGCTTTACAACTTTTGTGAGTGATAGAAGAAAAGAAAAAGGAATAAGGCATGTCTAGTATCCGTTAGCGAATATACACAGCTTTGCAGTGATAATGATGATCATAAAGCATGAAAGTAATCCTTTGATCGAAAAAAGAAAACTTCACCTTTTATTTAATCATTTGCATGAATCCATTTATTCTTATGATCATAGCATATTTTCAAACAATCACCTTGTGCATTTACCATTCGGTATATTTCATCACAAATTCACACATTTACAACTCTTGTGAGTAAGCATTGCTTTAATTGCATATTATTTATATCTAGAACTTTTATTTTGTCTTGTACTCATGTTATTCAATTATAAAAATTATTTTAATTCAATAGATTATTAAATGCAAATAAAATTGTTTGTATACGTGGTGATACATTTGATGGATTAGAAAAATTAAGTTTATTATCATTATATGATAATCAATTAAAAACTTTAGCAAATGAAACGTTTAGTCCATTAAAAAGTCTTCAGACATTGTAAGATTGCTTTTTTAGAGTTTAATTGTTTGAAAAATATAGTCTTTTTTCTTTTCTTCTCTGAAGACATTTAGCACGTAATCCATTTATATGTGATTGCCATTTACGATGGTTAAATGCATATTTACGTGAAAAACAAATTGAAACAAGTGGTGTTCGTTGTGCAGCACCACGACGTATGATAAAACGTAAATTTGGTGTTTTAAATGATCGAAGATTTCGATGTCGAAGTAAGAAAACAAAAATATATCATATCTACATAGTAAACTAAAAACATATTAGATCGAATGGAATATGAACAAACAGCATATGTTGCTCAATGTGAAATACAATGTCCGAAAGGATGTACATGTCATAAAACAACAGTTATATGTCGAGGATTACAATTACAAGCAATCCCTAATGATATCCCAGCGTTTACTACTATACTGTAAGTTATTTTCTAATAGAACAGTTTAACATCAGATAATGTAAATCAGTTTCAATCACTTCTTAACGCGGAAACATTAGTCATGATAGATTCTTCAATTAATTTTTTTTATGAACTATATAAAGTTTGTCACGAACTTATCATTATATAAATATACAATCGTTTATCATCTTATACACTCATTTTATAGAACGTTCTGATCATATAAGTTAATGACTAATTATTTATCTAGTGATCTTCAAGACAATTCAATCAAACGGATATCACGTAATGGTAGTTTTCGACATTTGAAAAGTCTTCAAACACTGTATGTATTTAATAATTTTTCTATAAAATATAATCTTAAAAAATTTATTTTATAGTGATTTACGAAATAATCATTTAGAACAAATCGATGATGATGTTTTCGATGAAATTGACTCACTTAATGAATTGTATGAGAAATTTATCTTCGTTTTTCTTTACTAATATTTTTGTTTATGATTAGATATTTAAGTAATAATAGTCTTCATACAATAACATCACATACATTTAATGGTTTAAAGAATCTTCAATTATTAGATTTACAAATAAATAATTTAACATTTATTAAAAATGATATGTTTATTCATATGAATAAACTTCAAATATTATTTCTAAATGATAATTATATTAAATGTATCGATCGAGGGTCATTTGATCAACTTGAATCATTAACGAATTTGTAAGATAAAATAATACGTTTCTATAAAAATTTTCATATTATTATTTTATTTAGAAAACTACAATCGAATCCATTAATATGTAACTGTCATATGAAATGGTTAAAACAATGTAAAAGAATTACTGATCAACCAAAGTAAATATTTTTGAAAGAATAAAAATTTATTCTATTTTTATTTAAAGGTGTATGTCACCAGTTAAATTATACAATATACCGGTAAATATTTTCAAAAAAAGTAAATTTTGACTTAATCTTTTTCATTTAAGATTACAAATGTTATTGATGAAGATTTCATATGTAATGGTAAGTATCTTTTTTATATACGTGGGTGGGTCTGAGAAATGTAGGACATGAATATGGTTCTAGCACTCCTATCCATGCTTACATCTTTCGCATTGTATATGTTCATAGAGATTATTTAAGTGTCTCTATGCCTTCGAATAATTTATACTTCTATGGCAGATTAATACATAGAGTGTGAATTGATATCAGTTGGTAAAACTGTTCTTGTATTGAGATTAGTGTTGCCAACTCTTTCGGATTTCCCTACTTTTTCTGGATTTTAGATGACTTTTATTGAATTAAATTTTATCTATTTGTTAATACTCAAAAATTTTGTTTTACTTAACAGCGGTTCAGTGACTTATACTTATATATCTAGTTTATTATATTTTGAATTTTGATGTTGATTTTCTTTTGATATAATAAGTGGTGTAATTAAGAACAATATTTTGAGAAATTTATTTTAGCTGGTAGAAATTAACTGTTAAAAATCCTTCTGGAATTTTCCGGATTTTTATATTAAAATTCCGGTTTTCTGACTATGACATTTGGCATCACTGAATTGAGATCTATGCCGATACTAGTTTATAATAATTTTGTCTTTGTTTAATAGAGTAATATGAATTCTTGTAAAGTTTCTATTTACATCATGAGTTCAAATAGAAGTTATCAGTTAGATGAATTCTCTTATGAGAAGGTCATTCTTTATGTGTGAGATATTACATCAAACTAAGAAGTATTTAAAGTTTTGTATAAATACAATAAAGTGTATTTAAAACAATACGATCTCTTTATGCAATATAACCCATAGGTAAAGAACTTAAATTGAAATGTTTTCTTTCTAATTTTAGCTACTGAAATTGATGTATGTGATGTATCTCATACGAAATCTTGTCCACAAAATTGTACATGTTATAATAAAATTGTACGATGTTCACGTGCTCAATTAACTCGTATTCCATACGAAGAAATACCAATAGATACAGAAGAACTTTATTTAGATTCAAATTATATAGAAGATATACCATTAGAATTACTTAATCGTTTTATTTATCTTGTACGAATTGATTTAAGTTATAATAAATTACGTGGAATACAAGGAAATTTATTTTCAAATTTAACACGACTTGAAACACTAATATTATCTTATAATAAAATTCAATGTTTGGATTTAAATACATTTAAAGGTTTAAAAAATCTCAGAATTTTGTATGTATTTATATTCTAAAAACAAAAAAATAGAAAATATTGAAATTTTAGATCACTTCATGGAAATAAACTTTCATCAATAGTAGAAGGAACATTTAATGATTTAACCGTTTTATCACATATGTAAGATAAATATAATATTAAACGATAATCAAATTCATATCTATATTTATTAATAGTGCACTTGGTAGTAATCCATTTTATTGTGATTGTAATCTTGCTTGGTTGTCATCATGGATTAAAACAGATTATGTCGAACCTGGTAAGATTATAATTGATTAGTAGAAAAAATATAATAATACAATTTACTATTTATAAATTAGGTATTGCTCGATGTGCTGGTCCAAGTCTAATGACAAATAAACTTCTTCTTACATCTCCTGTTTCATTCTTTCAATGTCATAGTATGTATATTTTCCTTCTTAACTTCTTTTTTTTTTAAATTAATCTATTTATTAGATAAAACTGAATCATATTATCATCAACAAAAATGCAATCCTTGTTTAAAAAATTCTAATCGATGTTCTAATAATAGTACATGTCGATCATTATCCTTAGAAAAATATGTCTGCGACTGTTTACCAGCATATTATGGAAAATTTTGTGAAAAAATCAATGATACTTGCTTGAGTAATCCATGTAAACAACAAGGAATGTGTCAATCATTAGGTGAAGGCCGTTATCAATGTCATTGTGTGTTAGGTTTTACGGGTAATCAATGTGAAATAAATATAAATGATTGTATATCTAATCATTGTCAAAATAATGGTACATGTATTGATAAAATTAATGATTATTTATGTTTATGTTCACCATTATTTACTGGTAAAATAAAATAAATATTAAAGACAAAAAATTCTAAGATAAATTGTATTTATAGGAAAATATTGTGAAGAACGATTAAATTTATGTACTCAAGATTTAAATCCATGTAAAAATAATGGACATTGTTCGATAGCAGAAAATGGATACAAGTAAGATACATTGTTGAATATATCTATTGTAGTTTATAGAAGAAAAGGGTTTTTCTTATATAAAATTTAACGCCTAAAGTAAGAGAAAATAGATGCTTTGTTATCTTTTTTATATCGATATTTTTATAATATATTAAGAAAACGATAGTATAAGATATACTCAAAAGAAAGAATGAGAACAAGACTGATAAGTCTTTGTCAGATTTTATAGTTAATCGATTTGTTTGAATTCATTATATGATTTAGAAATGAGTTACAGCCTAAAATGAATTTTGTCACCTAGAATTATATATATACCGACATCCAATCTCTCGATCGTGATTTGTACCTTACTTTTAATAATTAATGTTTGTCTACTTCTCAATTGCTATAAATATTCTATTTACAAGTTTGTTCATTCAAAAAAATCTCTACAGAATTACGATATGATAAAGACGATCACTAAAAGTATTCCAACAGAAACAGAAGAAGTCAAAATTTTATAATCCAAAATCTCTTTATATAATCAACTCATAGTTTACTAAAATCAGACAAGGCTTATTTTCGATAATTTATCTTTTTGATATTCGTGATATTTTACGAAGAGACTTCTCCGGTAGTTTCAAAATCGAGCAGGATAAATTCTATTTGAATTTTTTGTTGTGAATTTAGATGTGATTGTCCATTGAATTTTAAAGGAATAAATTGTACAGAAACTTTCAATGATTGTTCTAATTCAACATGTCAATTTGGTGTATGTGTTAATAATATATGTCAATGTGATATTGGTTTTACTGGAAGATCTTGTGAAATAGCTCCTAAACTTAAATCTTCAATACTCGATGTAAATTCAAGTAATATTTCACGGTTACAATGTACATCGGATATATGTTCAAATAATGGTATTTGTTATGAAGAATCATTGAATTCACTTCGTTGTCGTTGTTTTTCGGGTTATAACGGTGATCGATGTAATATATTAAAAAGTGTTCATTCAAATACAAATTATTCTTATATAAAATTACCTAAACCAAATGTATATCCACGTTTAAATCTTACAATTATATTTAGTACAAAACAAACGAATGGTATACTTGTTTATTTTGGATATTTGGGCCATATGATTGCAGAATTATTTATGGGTCGAATACGTATTAGTTATGATATTGAAAATTCTCCTGGTTCAGTTATATTTAGTTATGATGCAGTTAATGATGGTAAGAAAACAATATTTTATTAGAAAAAAAAAATATGTTTTTTTTGTAGGAATGATACATGAAATACAAATGATTAGTACTGGAAAGAATTTTAGTTTAACTGTTGATCGAGGTTACACGAGATATATTAATAATGTCGGTGTTCATGCTTATATAAATACAAGTGATATACATGCATTGTATATTGGTGGTTTACCAAAGGAATTAACTGGTAGAGCTCTTCAATTGTGGCATATTCGAGAAGGAGTTTCATTTCAAGGTAATTCTTTTCATTTAATTCATCTTCAGTTAAATTTTTACATTGGATTGAGTGAATAAACTTGACAGATGAGCTATTAAACATATTATTAATAGTAACTATCTCATACGATGAATTCATTGTGTATTTTCACCGAATATAGTAGATGAATAGAATAATTGATATCATGATAAGATTTATTTTATTAAAGGTTGTATTCATGGACTTTATATAAATAATGATCCAATTAATTTTGCTAATGTTGATTATCGTCATAAATTTTTACCGGGTTGTAAAATAAATGAACAAAATCAGTCATCTTGTACTACTACAACTTGTCATCATGGTCAGTGTTATCGTGATGGTTTTACTGATAAATGTAAATGTCATACTGGTTTTACTGGACCAACATGTAACGAAGGTAAGATTCTAAGATTTGTTTTTTATTCAAATTAAAAATTATTTCTTCTAGTTGTAACATCATCACTTGATTCTTGTGATGTAAGTGTTGAAACAGGATATTATATAGATCCATTAACGCAATGTACGAGTATAAGACGTTTACGTATGACAAAATGTATTGGAGAATGTTCATCTTTATCAAATAATAAAACATTAACATCATGTTGTAAACCAATTGAATCAAAACGTCGTTATTTTCGAATGAAATGTGCCAGTGGTTTTACATATAAACAATCACTTGATTTCTTTAAACAATGTACATGTTTAAATACTGTTTGTTAATTTTAGAAATATAATTTAAGTTTTCTTTTTTTGTCAACACAAACTAATCTAAAAGCACTCAAATGATCTCAGGAAATTTGTATAATATTGTTTTGTTTTTATCCTTTGTTCATTTTCTCTTTTTCGTTTTCCAGTTTGCCATTCTATTGTATTTGCTATTTGCTAGTTGAATATTTTTATAAGTCACTTATATTCATTGTCATTCTATTATATTTAAATGAAAATGAACTAGAGAAATATCACATCATGATGAATAATATTTTTTCATAGTTTTTTTTATACGCGATTATTTCACAATATAAAATACTATGTATGCTCATATGTCGATCTCGAACTAGATGTTTGTTTCTGTTAGAATGGAAATCATAGGATATGATGAACTATGTTTCATTCTTTTTTCTATCTTAATCATAAATGAGTTCAAATTCTCGTTTATTTACTTCGTATTCTTACAGTAAGTGCAAACTACAAGATAGGGAAATAGAACGTTAGAAGTCCCTTGTTCTTTTATATAAATGATGCTAATTATGAAATAATCTTCCAAAGTATTCATTAAAATATTTCATTTGGAAAAGAAAAAAACTTACTAATTTAATAATTATTATAATAGTATAATTATAGAGTATCAAAAGAACATAGAATTAATTAATTGATATCGTGCCTGGTTATTCAAGTGTATGTAAGTAATTGTTATTTTCATGTAGTTTAAAAAGTAAAAGTTGTCTACAATTATCTATCTTATATAAAGCACAGACATTAATGATGCGTTGGTGTATATTATATTTTATACATAATACGTGACGCTTGTCATTTATTAACATTATATTCAGTAATAACATTATGAATTCATCATCTGAAGTAAATCTTGCACTTGCTACGGATTGGATGAGTACAATTAGCTTATTTATTTTAATACCTGTCGGTTCATTTGGTTGTCTTTTTAATATTATTATATTTACTTCAAAACAATTGAAGAAAAATTCATGTGCTTTTTATTTTCTATGCACAAGTCTTTTTGAATTATGTATTTTATGTTTCGGTGGTATATCTCGACTTGCTACGGAACATTTTGGTAGTACACTTATAAGTCAAAATCGAATGTATTGCAAAATTCGTTCATATCTTATGACAGCAATAGGTACAATAGCCGTGTATTTTGTTCTATTGGCAGCTATTGATCGATGTATGGCAACATCAATTCATGTTCGATATCGAGCATTTAGTCAAATTAAAATTGCTCATCGTATTGTTATAGGTACTATTATTATTGGAATAGTAATTAGTATACATAGTTTTATCTTTTTTGAACCTCAATTGGGATGTATACCACAACCAGGTGTTTATGCATTATTTTATAGTGTTTATTTAATAGTTTGTACTAGTATTTTACCAGATAGTTTAATTTTGATATTTTCTCTATGGACATTTCAAAATATAAAACGAGCAAGATTACGTAATGTAGCAAATCAAACTATCAACGCATTACATCAACAACGTATGCAAAAAACCGAATCACAACTTGTAAAAGTAAGTTAAATGATTGTTCGATTTGATTGAATCTTTGCATTAAATTGTTGTAGATGATGTTAACTTTGGCTTTATTCTCAATTTTAATTGATTTAACAAAAGTATCATGTTATACATATTATTTTATGACAACAAACATTTCAAAAAGTTCTTATCAACAAACTGTTGATGTATTTATATTTCAATTTGGTAATGTTTTTTTGTATCTTAATTATTCAAAATCATTTTATATTTATACACTTGCTAGTCATTTATTTCGTAAAGTATTCAGTGAAATAATGCAAAATTTTTATCATAAATTACTTCGGCTTTTGCCAAAGAATAACATTCATCCTATTACGATTATTCAATAAAAGTAATAATGGAAGTGTTGAACAATGTAAAATTCAATTGATTTTATTTGTGTATTATCATTAAACAGACTCTTTTTGCAATTAATAAATTTATAGAAAATATTTCCGGTATGATGTCAAAGAAGAATAAAATATATATAATTATTTTATATATTAGAAGTCTCATAGGCGGCGAAGCGTCTTGAATCTAGGTAAGATTCATAATGTTTTCTTCTTTGCATCCGTTGAACTGCGACGGTGAAACTTTTATTAGAGCTGCAGCATAAAAAAAAGCTCTTTTATTAAGTTCAATAAATCAAAAGGTTTAGAGAATAAAAGATGGTTATGATTAAAAAGAGCCAAAGAACCGTTTTCAAAAATGCACTATTCAAACGGTTATATGTCTAGAGAAAAGAAAGAGAACCAGAAAGACAGTGAACGAGGGATAAATACGACTACCTAACACTTCTAAATATTCACAATCTATTATTCTCTCTTGTGAACTCGAAGCGTAACTGATATCTGACTGCAATCATGTCAATTTGTCGTCAAGACAGCCACTACGAACAACATACATCAAAGAAAAGTATATTTTCCATGTCTCTGAAAGGACAGTAGCGACGACAAGTTAATAAGTGGTGTGTCAAGTTCAAAATTAGGTGAGGCTCAGGCCTTTGAGTCTCATAGGCTCCGCCGCTCTTGACAAGGCTAGTTTATCTCTATATGAAATTATAATTATATCAAAAAAAATTCATTCAATTTGGTGTTGCATTGAGATGATTAGAAAAAAAGTTGATAATTACTAATTTTACTATAGATCAAATGACTTCTTATTTCTCTTAGATTCTATATTTTTATTCAAAGCTTTACCAATCGAGACTGAAATCAGGTCAAATTTCTTGACTTTATTTTTTAATCACGTAGACAATCGATCTTAATATATATTTTCAATCATTACAGATATTCTCTAGATGATCATGTTTTATGAATATTATTTCAAAATTTAATCAATGAAAATTATTTCTTTTCTGTTTAAAATTAGTTATAATAAAATTTTAAGTTTATTATTATTTATGAATAATTGAAGGCATAAGATATGCTGTCATTGCATAAAGCATTTTTGGAAACCAATGAATTCCATTGTTTTCATTTGAAATAGTTTCTTTTCCAAAGAAATTATACCACCATCGCATAGGTGCTAATGCAGCATGAGCTAAATAATGATTATTAATTGTTGCATAACATGAAGCTACAATATTATTAACAATTAATGTCCCTTCTTGAGTTAATGGTGCAATATATCCTTGTTTAACAATATCGATTACATTTGAAATAGTTTCATTAGATAATAAACCATTATTATTCATAACAAATACATTCATACCTACACGAATATTTTTTGCCATAATATAACCATGAATATCAGTTAGGAGAAGATGAGATGATGTAAGAGATAATTCTTGTCCAGAAACTGTAGTTAAATGTTTGAACATAGCTAAGAAGAGAAAAAAAGAAAATCATATAATAATAATTAAAACAAGAGAATTTACCGAATTGATTTGGTCGATTATCAAGCATTGTTATTATAGGAGTAGTGACAATTGTTTTTGTTTGATCATTATAAGCAAAAACAATATCATCTGATTGTAATTCATTGATTTGTTTTAGTTTTCCATTAGATAAAGTAACAAAAGAATCGGCAGCAAAACAACGTGCACCTTGAAATAAACCATCTAAATCATGTCGAATTTTAATTAAGAAAAAATCAATTATAAGAATGATAAAACAAACTTCGAATAGGACATTTTTCATGGCTTGTAACAGGACAACAATGTTCAGCTAAACTTATAACTTCAGCAAGTGCCGCTTGACCAAGCTAAAATAAATAATCATGAATAAAAAAAAATATTCATTGCATTGATCTATGTATTCATTTACTTCTGCAGCAATACAACCATCTAATTCTTTGCTTACACATTGGGTAATATTTACGGCTACATTACATATCATTTTTACATCTAAAAAAACGATAATTTCTATAATAATTCTCTCTATGATTTTACTAACCATTCATAGTAACTCCATAAAGTGCTGTTGTTAAAAATTGAAGACAGTCAATAGTTTGTTTTGGTTTTTCACTTATTGAACATAATGCATACGTAGTTGTTATTAATACAATGATAATTGCAAATTTGAATATTATCTAAATAGATTCGTTAAATTATTGATATGATTATTTATTTCATTTACCATTTTCAATAGAAATCGAATATTTTATGTTTCAATATCAATTAATCGATAGAAATGATTTCATTTCACAATTATATCAATCTATCGTTATTAAAACAACGACTCATATTACAAATCCTTACTTTTAGCAATTACTAATAAAAAGAAATATATTCGATTTTTTTCTGTTATTCTTTAAATCATAATTGAAACGAATCAAATTTCTATGCGTAGATATATATATAAAAGAAAGAAATTATTATGACGTAATAAATCATATTTATCTCTACAAATGTATTTTTTAGTCGCAGAAAAAAACAATACGCATCAGACAATATTAAAGTTAGATTGATTGTGATGTGAAATCAATATGCATTTTGATTAATTACTAGAGATGTACCGCAAACAAAAAGTTTAATGACGCATGATCTCTTGATACCATCTGTCACGCTTATTTTAATGCTACTAGACTTTTAAATAGAAATAAACGAATTACTTATGTTGAAATAAATACACGGTTGAGTATCACTATTCTTAAATTTCTAGTTACTTCGTTCGATTATCATTGACTTCAACATGTACACTAACCATTATATAAATGGTGAATGCTTATTTTATACCAATATTAGTTGTTTTATTCTTTCTCAAGAATAAACTTAAAGCACCGTTCATCATATGACTTTTTTTTCGCTAAATGATTTATTAGCGTTTATCATACATTCAACAAATACGTTTTTAAAGTCTTGTGAAATGTATAATATTTTTCTCAATATCATTAAAATACAACATGTTATCTATTGCACCGATGATGTCAGAATATTACCGTAACAATCATTTTGAGTACATTCATATGTTCGAGCAGAGAATGACACCATAAAAATGTTACATAATTCATCGTTATTTATGTCCTTTTAATATCTATTTCTGGGCAGGCATCTTCTACAATAACCTTCGATATATAATATCGATTCATTTACTATTTGCATTTAACTATTGTTTACATACATCTAACTCTTAGATTAACTACAATATAACAATCATAAAATATTCGTCCACATAAGAAATTCTATTCAAGAATTATGATTACGTTTTGTAAACTAGATATTTATTTATGAAAAAATCAAAACAATTTTTATTTCTTGTTTACAAAAAATCGATCTAAGATAACACACACATTTATATAAAAGTAACAATTTCATTATTAATCATGAATCTGCAAATAAAGAAAGATTTAAGATAATAATTATTTTTCTTTCAATAATTACCTTTTGTACAGTTTTATCATAAAGTGATAGTGATTGTTGAGTTGATCGATGATGTAAATAAAGAATTCCAATACTAAATAATGCCGACAGTAGAAAAATACAATCAAACCAACGATGATAAAAATTAAATTGTAAATCACCAAGAACTCGTGAAATAATATGCCTATTAAAAAAAACCATATTTTAATCTCAATAAATATTTATTAGACTTAAACTACCGATATTTTGCTGGCATATTCATTCGAAGAAGAAGTACAGATGATACAAAATACATTCCCTATAGAAAAAAAGAAAAAGATGAATATTTTTCTTCTATTATATTTACCATTAATTGAGCAAGACATAAAAAAATAACATCTGATGAACGACTACTTGATATGAAATAAAAAAACTATTGAAACAAAAAAATTATTTTATTATTTTTTTGAATTCGCTTTAATTTTATTATCAAACTTTTGTTAATGTTATTAATAAACCACGAATACTTGTTACAACCATAATACCGATTAATATAAATGATACATATTGTGACCAAAAGTGTACATCAAATTCGAAATTAAAATAATGAACTGTTAATTCAATACTTTTTGTCACCGGATCAACTAGAAAAAATTATATATTTTTTTCTTTCTTTCTAGAAATATTCAATTTACCTTTTCCTACTCGATTAAAAATAATATTTATAGATGAAATTAAAATTTTCCATATACAATATACAGAGAAAAAATGTCCGACGACATGAAAATATTTTCCTTGTAATGTTTTAGAATATTCAATACGTTCTTTTAATTCATTTAAATCAACAAGATCAGTATATAATTGTGTATAAATTTCTTCATAGATATATATTTCTTGTTTAATTGAATTGATATCACTATCTGCAGATGATATATGATTGATTAATGGATTTTCAAAACGAGAAGTAAATGTTCGTCGAAGAATATGCCATGGATTAGTTGAATTAACATTTGCAGTCATCGTTCTCATGAAATTTTCATGTTCAATAAGAGCAATACGTTTCTTTTTTGTTACAACTACATCCATAACTTGTTTTAAACGTTTTTGTGCATCAGTTATATCTTTATCAGTCATCGACTAAATATAAATAATAAATTATTACAGAATTTTTCATTTTATGAATACAATCAGAATTATTTCGCTTCATGAGACGTGAAAGAGTTTATATTTCGAAAATGATCAATAGTGACAATCAGGGGCGGCACGAGTCAGCCAACATTGCAGGGGGTGTAGCGAAATTTTTTGAATTTTCAGGAGGGTGTAGCATTATCTTTGGTAAAAAATCTAAGATTTGCCGATTTTGTTGAGCACAAAATAGCAATCTTCGAAGATTTGCGGAGCGGGCGGCTGGTGTCACACCCCCCCCCCCCCGACACTCCACCGATCGCGCCACCCCTGGTAACAATGTTAATGTATTGAGTATTATAAATAGATAGGACGAATTTATCGAAAAGTCCGTTCTGTGGACATAGAACTTCATTAGTTAAATTACAACTCGCATTGTCTATTCTTTTTATTTTAGCATTCGATGACCGAGATTTTATAAGCTTGGGTTAGATCTAGGCAAAAAAATCAGTTCGATTATCTTATCTTAATCTCAACTGTTATTCAAAAGACGTATATAATAGTACAAAATAATCGGTTTATTTAGAATGGGTAGTACTGTACTGACTTCATTATCGAATATTAGCTTTGATGAGTTCATGATGTATTTGTATTTGACATATCTTTTTTTAATACTCAGACAGACAAAACTCTAAAACAAACGGAGAACCACGCGTAGAAATTTTGAAATTTTAACGAAAATAAAATCCGAAAAAGCGCACATTTTGACGATTTTTACCTCCGTTGGCTTTGTCTATTGTAATTAACGCGTTAAAACTCACAAAATAACATGTAAAACCACGTTCAATTCCGCGTTTCAACGAGTAACTGTGGAGCAAATTTTAACTCAGTAAAACGCTTTCCAAAAATTTGCGTAGAAACGGTGTCTTTACGCGTTTTTTTAGAGCTTCTGTCTGTCTGGGTAGTCGTATTTTTGTATAACAATTTGGTTATCATATCAGTATTTTTCTAATCATTTATTGCCTTTAGCAAAACTTACAAGTCTAACATTAAAATTTTATCCATGAGCATTAATTTTATGGCAATAGTACTAGTATATAATCATTACCGGAAGAAAATCAACGTAGATGTAATATATGTATAACTAACTTGAGCGGAAAGTCGAAAGTACAAAAACAATATTGACATAATTTTAACTCATTTTTCGAACAAAAGCTTATCATACATTTTCTGAATGATAAAACCTGAGTCACACTATTTTACAATCTTTATTACATTAACTTTCAGTCAATATGCAAATTTCAAAATTCTTCTTTTCAATTTCAATTTACCTTAATAAAATAAGTCATATATGTATATGGACAATTAACAGCTAGAAAAGAAAATCTATAAAAATATTTTTTATCATTAATATAAAATTATTTTTCATACCACCAAATCCACTTAAAATAGCCATAACAGTTACACCAATAATTCCTACACGACTTATACAAAATTCAATACTAAAAAATTCATTTCGGTTTGATATTGGAAATGGATTTCCAAATTTCCAAAATACATATAAATAAAAACACCATGCAATTAATGTAAACAATAAAACAAGACGAAAATCTCGAACTAAAAATAAAAATATTTCTATTAAATATAAAAAAAAACAAATTCTTTTACCAATTTTAACTGTATTCAATAATAAATATGCAATATAAAATGGTATAAGAAAAACAAGTAGAAAAAGCATAGAATATAAAACAATATGCCAATAAAGATATCTTGACCTATTTGAATGGAATAAATTTTTTTTTTTATATAGATAATCAAACATACGTTGGTTTTAATAAAGCAAGAATTTCAAAAATAATCAATTCAAACATCATACAACTTAATGTAAATATTAATGCAAATGAAAGAATAACAAAACGATTTCTCACACCATAATTTAACCCAAGTTGTCGTACAAAGAACATCCAACCACCAAGAAAAAAAGCGATCTTAAAAATTTCTTATTATCAATAGAGAATTTTTATCAAATTTAGATAAAAAAATACATACTTGAGAAATTGTTACGACAATGGTATCTGTTAAAAGAGACATGATAAAAACTGTTCAATACATATTATTCATTAGAATATAATTAAATATAAATATCAATATAATCTAAAAAGAATTATAAATGTCGTTTATAATCATGATAATGTTCTGATAATTATATATGCGTTATAGAGAAGAGAACCAGGTGATTCAATGAAGAAAAAAAGAAACGAAACGAAAATTTGAAGCAGAAAAACCGTAGTAGAGTAGCAACGGATTTGTCCTTAATATATATCGAATCAAATTATTAGTAAGACTCTTATTAAAGAATATCAACTAGTTTTAGAAGAAATTCATTTTGCTAATAGTTTGTCGAAGTTATAAATAAAAATATAGGTAAATTTTATGCGGTAGATGACGCTAAAGATAAGTTGATCAAAATATTTTGTTGTATGATTAAAAAATAATACATCAGAGATCAAAACTAATAAATGAATTAATATTCAAATTTGATTCAATCAAAGATTATAACTGTAAGTATACGTCATCCTCACGTACTTCGATTTTAATGACAAATAAAGGTTCATATTCAATTGCACTGTATAACAGATTTGATATACAAACTCGTAGAATCAGTTTAGCTAGATAGTTCATTAGAACTATAAAGAGATTTTATTATATATCAATTTTCGCAATTATAAATTCTTCCTCTAATAATTATTTGAACTTCACTTCAACTCTTATATTTCTAAGACATCATCAATGTTATTTACAAGGTCATGCCTATTACTTGTATGCATAAAATAAAATAATTGTTCTAGAAATATCCTGATGATTTTTCTATGGAAACATGGGTAAGTTTTATAGTTAATTATAGATCATCAAATAACTATGTGAGAAATTAAATTTTAATATTTTGTTTGATATATGTTTATTTCTATTTATAACAATTAGATATACTTGTCTATCAATTCTAAGTCTCGATGTCTTATCTTTTGTATATGGATAAGTTAATTATCTCATATACTAGTTCTACATAATACAATTAGTGTCAATTTTATATTAACAAACGAAAGTTCGGGTTTTGGTCCAGAGAAATCTTTTTTTTTGGTTTTATGCTATAATTTTTAACGATCGATAATGTTTTATAATATTCCATATGGAATTTGTCCAACAATTGTCAAGAACGAAACAAAAATATTCTAAGGCATTGAGTAGTATTTGATCTGTTCTATTATAAAAAAAACAGTTTATTTTTAGATTATTCATCCAATAATTGCTAAATTAATCTTCATTATAACTTCTTCTGTTAAAGAATATATTTGTACTTTGAAATTCTGTCGATTTTAATTAGAAGATCTCATTTTTTGTTACATTTTACACACTTAAAATAATACTTTCATTATTCTAATTAAACAATGAGAAAGCAAATAAATTTTTTTTCTAACACTTATAAATCACTTCAAGATGATTTTGACTCTTAGAAGATAATATTAAATCATGATTGGCATCTTAATCGTCTCTGTCCATGAAGAAATAAACATTCATTGATGCTTCAATTAGTTTAATGTACACACATGTTTATATTAAATATTGTTATTCGATAAACCACTATATGACATTTGTTAACAAAGTGTGTCTAAAATGAGTTGACCTTTTACTATAAATGATCCTACTTTATATATATATGTGGTTATGAAGGAAAAAAAATCCAATGTGTTTCATGTTAACTCATCAAAGATAAATATACCGATGTACATTTCTGCTGTCATTTATCACTTGAGAAAAGAGACAGAAAGAATATGAGCATAAATGCCAATCGATGTTTACTAAATGAAGAAATTGATCCCCTGTTCCTGACATACATATATACCATAAGACGTTTGCTTGACTGCCTGTTGTGTAAAACAAATAAGCATCAAATGTTGTCTTTTCTTTTTTTTTTGTTGTTAGAACTAAAGGAAAGAGAGAAGGACAATGATGATGATGATAAATAGTCTAATTCTGTATTTGCTCGTATTCTAATGATCTTACCAAAAAGATATTCAACAGATTTTTTATACCTGTCAAGTTAAGAGAAGAAAACGATTATCTATATACTTTATATGTCGAGAAAATGTTGTCTTTCTTTTGTCACTCGTCTTTCATTTATTATCAAATGTTATTTGTTCGTGTGACAATTAATCGTTAACAATTTAGTTACGTTAGTATTCTCATGAGAATTCTAATGAAGGTTATTTAAGTTATATATATATATATAAAACTTAAATGATTAGTTTTTTTGTTTATTTAATAACCATGAATATGGAGAAAATTTTCAAGTAAACATGTTGATTCTTATTTAACAATTTTTCTTTTGTATTAAATCTTCATACCTTTTCTTTTTTGAGACAAACAATAAAACTTCTTACGTCTTTGCTTCTTCCCCCTGGAGACTCATTTAGTAGAAGAAAAAGAAGAAGAAGAAGAAGGAAAAAAAAAGAAAAATGACATCGCTTATTATATCATTGAAAGGATTTCCTTGAGTGAATTCTTCATAAAAAGTCATATCCTTTCTTTCTTACACATTCATCTATAGTGACGATATAAACGTCATTCACTCACTCATTGTTGTGCCCTCGAGCATTGACATATAAGTGATATCAGTTCATATGTATATGTGTATCGACACTCAACGATGCATGTTAATCGTACTATCACTTCTTATAGTCTATCTGACAGGTGAAGTGATCCGATCATCGAATGAATATCTTAACTCAATAGGCAAACAAGATACTCATAATCATCTAGTCGTCTGTATTTTTCCGTTCTTTCTATATATATACATATAAAAGAAAAACAAACTGTATGAGACATTAATAGATTTAAGACGGTAAATGAAGAAAAGAAACATTTCTTGTCTATATATCACATATAAATGAAGACGTGATTTTTTTCTTCTACCGAGCAAATTTATATATATAAAGCTTCAAATAAAACACGAAGAAGAAACATCACTGTTCGCTAGATTGACACAAATGTAGTTAGGCATCCGGTGCCTTCAGCTTGTAAGTAACATACATACCTGTCAGTAAACGCACAAATTATATGAATGTCTTTGACACATACATACACACACATTTATAGTTTAATCTAGTATGTAGTAACATCTTTTTTTTTCTTACTATAAACTACTATCTAATTGTAGCAGAGTAATATAATATATCTTTAAGATTAATCCTTAACGAGAGAAAAGAAATATGTAATTGAACCTTTTCTTTCAATTGAATTTTCACTTACAAAAGTATTAAAAGTTTTGTTCTCTATATCACAAAAAAAACTGCAGACTGTGACTTAATTAGTAAAAAATGTTGTTATTTTTAACTTTTTTTCTGTGTTTCTTTTTGGATAATGTAAATTTTCTTTTTCAGATAATGATTTGAATGAATGACGCAGTCTCTCGCACGCACTCTTATCATTACTTCTCTTGTCCTTAGTTCAATATCATTTATATTAAGTTTAATTGCATTTTGTTTAACAAATTGGAAATCTGTTCAATTACGTTCGATATCTTCATCAATAATTCCTCTAGAAAATAATCAAATGGATCCATTGATTCGTGGTGAAGTTGAAAAATATACTGATATACTCTATCGTCATGGTATTTTGTTTGAAACTAAAATAACATAAACAATTTATTTACTCTTTTTGTCTAGGTCAAACTCATTCATTTGGTCTATCAAGTCATTGTATAGTCGGACATAAATGTGGTCGAAATCTTTTACCAACATTTCATGAAACAAATTATGGACTTTGTCATAATATAAAATATCATCAACAATGTATATTTACAACATCAGTATATTTATCAGAAAAATGTACTTGTCAAAAACCATCTTATATAAACACAACTCATACATTAGTCATTATTATAATGAGTATTCAAATATTATTTTTTTTTGTTAATTTTCTTCGATTATATCGTTATATTCCTTGTTTAAATGATCTTTATCTTCGTTTAATTGCAATAATTTCTACTCTATTCTCATCAATATTTCTTATTATTATTATAATACAACAAAATAATAATCGTCTTTATGAACCATTAGCATATCTTGAAACAATGCGTGAACATTATTCAACGCATCAAATCTATTCATTTACACATGATTTAGAATTAATTATTAAACAAATAACATCGAATTTAGATGTACATTTAGGTACATCATATATATGTATTATATTAATATTAATATTAACAATAGTATCTTTTTTTACATCATCAACAGTTGAAATTAAAATTTTATCAACGTTTGATGATGATGAAAGAAAAAATGAACAAAATAATGTATTATTACCATCACCACCAACACCTCCACTACTGCTACCACCTCTTCCGCCAAGTGAACGTTTTGTACCTTATGAACAAATTCGTTTTTCACGTCAAACAAAAGTTTAAATTTTTTAGATTATATAGAGATTTATATATTTTTTTGTATGTGTTTTATTGTTGTATTGATATACTAGTTTAAATTCATTGAAAAAAAGATAAGATAGGGGATTTAATGTGGAATTTTTCAAGCAGAATAGTTGTTTTTTGTTAACTTATTTAGTATACGATGGAAGTTTTATGACTTCGTACTTATATATAAAAATAGTACATTGTGGTTTTAGTTAATAAATACAGGAAACAAATATGTTGTCTTTAAGAATCATTTCTTTTACAATATAGTTCTTGATAATACTAACAGGAATATAGACTATTAGCGAAGTCTGACAGAAAATGCAGAGTATCTATCAAATCTGGTAGATGACATAGATTATCTGTTAATTTAGAAAAACAGATAGTACAGAGTATCTGCCAAATCTGTTACATAGTATTGATCATTTGGTGAAATTGGTAAACATTGTATATATCGAATAAAATCTTGCAAAAATATAATGTACTTAGTGCAGTATCAAAATAATTTGTGATCATCTTCAAAAAGCTAAAAGTTGTAATATTAATCGATTTATGAAAGGCGATAACGACGGTAAATTGATTGAAGATGATATTATTGTGTTAGTTTTTTGTTGTTTAACTA